TGATGGAAGTTCTGGGTAAATAAGAGGACATTTTTGCACAAGAACCCAATTAGCTAGGAAGGACGTCAGTTGTCCAACATGAAATACACACAGAGAAAGGTCTTCTGGTAAAGCAAAGGTTTTACTCTTTATTGAAATTGGAGCATGAGTTTATGGGCCAAGAAATCAAGCGTATATAAAAAGCCAGATTAATTTGACTGTCATATAGTTTGTGAACATCTCCTGTCATACTAGTAAAGAAAAAAAATGGAAAAATAAGGTTATGTGTAAACTTTTAAAAGCTTAATCAACAGATGAAGTGTGATAGCTACCTTCTGCTGAAGATTAATGAGTTACTGGGTGCCCTTAAGAATTTAGCTTGGTATACTACCTTGGATCTTGCAAGCAGATTCTAGCAAGTTGGTGTTTACACCTGTGATTGCGAAAAAACAATGTTTATGATGAAATTCAGATTGTACGAGTTCGTAGTGATACCATTTGGCTTGACAAATGCTTCTACTACTTTCTAATAGATAATGGATCGTGTGCTGCAATAAGCGATGTAAGACTTTGTGCTGGCCTATATAGATGATATAAATATTTATTTCCTGAATTTTAAAAAGCATTTGGAACATGTTGATGTAGTTCTGAGTAAGTTACATAAAGCAAACTTGAGGCTCAACCCCGATAAGTATTACTTCAGGAAGGACCAAATTAAATTTTTAGACCATGAAATTTCGAGTAAAGGTATAATCATGTCAGAATCAATGATAATGGCTATGAGTGACTTTCTGAGGCCTAAGAACCTCTGTTCGCTTAAAGGTTTCTTGGATTTAGCTGGGTTCTACTATCAGTTTATCAAGAACTTTTTTAGAATAGCTGCCACCCTCTATAAGCTATTAAAATCAAATAAAGATTTTGTATATAAAAATGAGCAACAGGAAGCATTCAATGAATTAAAAATGAGGCTTACTTCAGCCCCTGTGCTTGCCCACCCCCATGATGATGTTGGATTCACCCTCTATATGGATGTGTCTCATTTGGGCCTTGGTGCTGTATTATCTCAACCTAGTAATGATAAGAATGAACATGTAGTAAAATATGCTAGTCGATCTACCAAACCTGCTGAGAAAAACTATACTATAACTGAGCTGAAGTATATCATGATCATTTGGGCTATTAAAAAGTTCTATCATACTTGCATAGATCTCAATTTACGATAGTAACTGATCATACCGCTTTGACTTACCTTAATAATATAGTGAATCCTATAGAAAGGATAACACAGGATATTATGACCTTGTAAGGCTACAATTTTGTTGTAAGATATAAACCAGAGAAGCAATTAGGCAATATTGATGGTCTCTCTAGAATTGAAGAAACAAGAGAATGAGAAAAAAAAAAATAGGGAAAAAGGAAGAAAGTATATAGACAACAGTTTTAGAGTTACTTAAGTAAGATTAGGCTTAGATGATATTGCAAATCAGTAGATACAAAAGGACAGGCAATTTAAATAAATCAGCGATAATTTAACAATGGAGTAAAACTCATTAATTAGTAAAAGGCAATTAAATTAAATTAAATTAAAAAAAAAACTTACTTTGTGAAACAATATAATAGACATAGTAAATAAGGGACAGCTATGATGAATATGTGTAGGGATAGGAGCACATAACTGAAAAACAACATTTGGACTATTAAGTGATTTATACTAGCAGCTAATAAAGGTAAAAGCATTGAAAGAGATACAGAACATACAAACCATCGAAAAAACAAGAGTGTTTAACTTGAGTTAGTACTCTGGCAAAGAGATAAAAAGTGAAAAAAAAAAAAACTGTAAATCCATAAATCTAGTTTAGGTAATGGTATTCTGGCATATTACTGACAAATTAACTGACCAAAAATGAGCTACAAGAAAAAAAAAACAAAAAAAACTAATAGAACCTGAGAATTATATAAACACTTAACTGAATTAGAGATATCAGAAGGATTTAATAAGGAGCAAGCCCAAAAGCTAAGAGCATAAGCAAGATACTACATTGTATGTGAAGGAATATTATACTAAAAAAGTGTTGCTGAACCTAAACAACTCATAAGAGTCTTATAACAAGATCAAGTGCCATTAGTACTGCAAGCTATGCATAATGATCCTGTAGCAGGACATCTTGGTGAAGGGGCAATAATCAAAAAAATAAAGAAAAGGTATTATAGAACCAGTTTATAAGAGATATTAGGAACTACGTATGAAGCTGCAATGTGTGCTAATAGAGAGGGAAGCCTTAGGCAAGGGAAGCATTACATCTTATAAAAGTGACCCAGCTATTTGATCGAATAGAGATGGATATCATTGGGCTCTTGCCTATTACAAAAAAAGGAAATCGCTATCTTGTGATCGCAATAGAGTACTTGATGAATTGGCCTGAGTTACAAGCCTTGCCTGATTGTTCTGCAGAATCTGTAGCTGCATTCGTATTAGAGGATATAGTTGCATAACATGGATGTCCTTGCATGATTCAGTCTGACCAAGGATTATACTTCATGAATAAAGTCATGAAGTTGGTTTTTGATAAAGCAAAAGTAAAGTATAAACAATTGTCTACTTAACATCCACAAAGCAATGGACTTGTTAAAAGGTTCAACTGAACTATTAGTGAGACATTAACGAAATGTGTAATTCAGTATGATGGAGATTGGGATGATTACCTGGCCCCTATGCTATTTGTATATAGAATGGCTAGATATAGCATGATAAAGCTTGATCCCTTCTATATTACATACAGATGTGAAGCAACATTACCGATTGAATTAATAGTAGGAACCTACCCTGTGAACCTGGATGATAATAAGCGATATGAATCGTTGGTTCTAGTCCAAACATTAAAGTTGATAGATGAGCTATTTGAGATGCGAGTTCAAGCTCGAGAGAACATATGTAAATCACAAGAAAGGCAAAAACAGTACTATGATCAACAGCACTCACTACAAAGCTTTGAAATCTTGGAGATAAGGTCTTGAGGTACTATGCTAAACTGAGGCAACAATTAGATGGTAAGCTAAAGGAAAAGTGGACAGGACCCTATTAAATACATAATATAATGGGAAATAGAACATATAAACTATGAACAATGAGCCCTCATAGAAAGGTGATGAAAGAGCACATTCACAAAAGTCAGTTAAAGAGATATGTAGAGCAAAATAACGCAAGCACTGAATAATCAAAAAAAAAAAAACTATCTCTAAGTAATTATAGAAAAATAAATAGAGCAACGTCTAGAAATATTAAGGAGAATAATCTAGCAACTTGTCGACTGAATGAACTCAGAGGAAGAATTGAAGATAAAAGGAACACAAATAACACTTTGCAACTAAGACCAAGAAATAGAAAAGATGTTTAAAAGAACTACAAAGAAGAGCAAAGCCTAGCAAATCTATGATAATATACATCTGTATCTTCAGAACCTGGACTGCCCTGTGGGTTTGACCTTGTGTTTTTCTGTTGAAGTCACTGGTGCAATCTGAAATGAGAAACTAATTCAGGCATACGATGCTGTTGAAAACTTGAACCCTCAGACCCAGTCTAATGCCCATATTCTGAAAATGTACTATAAAGTTGGTAGCCTATTGTTTGAGTCTGGCTGGAGCGACGAAGCAAGGAAAAAGTTGGCTCAGCAACTTCTGGATTCAAAGAGAAGCCTTGTTTAGAAGATTGCCAAATATATATACCTGTTGTTTAGTATCTGTAGAGAATATAGTATGTATATGGTTCAACATATTTTCATTTCGGTGCTGGAGCAAATGTTGGACTCTGACTTTACAGAATTGTTGGCAGAAGCAAGGAGATTAAGAGATGTTGATACTAGGAGGCTGTTAGCAGGTTTGACAGAGCTCACCCTTTAGAGAAGGAATATATTACGAAAAATTTTTTCGAAATTTTCCTTACCTTGCAAATTGTTGATATATAGTTCCTTATTCTATTATATAAAAGCAGTAAAATTATGTAGTCATAATAGTATTAGCACATGTATAGGTTTGAAATCCGAGGTTAGAGTTTAAAACTCTGGATCCAGGTGTGGAATCCCAGATCTGGGTCTGAAACTCCAAATCTGAGTTCGAAACCCCAGATCTGGATTTGAAACTCTTACCCATCAATATGTATAAATAGGATGCTTGCTTAATAAATAAAGTAACTCTTTTTACTCTGCTCAAGTAATAAATACAGTGAATACATAACTTAGCTCTTTCTTATTTTAGACCTGATAATAAATAATACGCACTGATCTTGCTTAATAAGTAACACATAGTAATCAACCAGAACCTAACTGTAACCTGCAATAACTTAACTTGAACTCTAAGAAATCTAACCATAACCTATAATAACTCGACTTGAACCTCTAAATAACCCAAACATAATCTATGATAACCTTTTACGAATATAGTTTAATAGAAGCGGTGATATAACCTATGCATAGTGCTGTACATTCTCTATGATACTTACCTAATTTGATAATTATTACTACGTACGGATCTGGATTATGCAACTTATCATTAGGATTTATGCTTATAGCACTAAACTAAATTAGCCTAAAAATATAAAAGCTCTCCTAAGTCGTAATACAGGTCTGTCAAATTTTAGTAAGATAGAAAAGATCTTAGGGATGCTCTGATTCGCAATATTATATATTCATGTAAACGAAATCAGAAGGGAGTAGATATTATAATACCTCTAAATTTGTGCACTCTTGATGAAGAGTTAAATGAAAATCATATTTTATATATACTAATACAAGTTAAAAATCACTTTACTAATAATAAAGGTTATAAATATTTAAAATCTGCAACTACTTGTCTGTCATCAGCTTATATAGGCATTGAGAATCTACCTTATATGCTATTTTTGTTATTGTATTTGCAATTAGGTGCAAAATCAGAGCTAGCTAATATTCTGTCAAAGTCTACTACAATACGTAATATAAATTCATGCAAATGTATAATTGCAGAAGTACTATAAGATTATAAAATAGATGCTGAAAGAACAGGAAAGGAATTTATCAAGAAGATTAGACTTGGAAAGAAGAAAGATTCAGATGTTTCAAGTGCTAAAATCAAAGAGTTTGAGAATATTTTCAGATTTTACTTGGATTGTTTAAATTATTATTAGATATTTACAATTGCTTAGGGCAGTCTACACCAGTTTTTACAACCTCATTATTGACCAAAGTTAATGATCTTACAAATAGCCTTAAATATTTATTGTCTGCTTGGATTGATCCTGTGATGAGAGAAAGTCAAGAATCAATAGTGATAGTTAAATGTATGACTCCAAAGATATACAATATAGAGAAGTAGTAAGATTATTGATTATAAAATTTAATGAATATATGATAGCATGTACTGTATGTTGGTTTGGTAAACAGTGTAGATTGAACAAAACAAGTGCTGTAGTTTATTATATTATTTTTTAGCATATCATTATTATTGTTATATAGTCAATTATTAATAAAGCTGACCCTAGTAGTCAATTTGCATATATAATTATATTTACTTTTGCATATGTATTTTGTGAATTTATTTATTCTATTGTTATTGATGTATATTAACTTGCATATGATCAAGAATTTTTAAAAATTTTTCTTGGCATCAGCATTACAAATTATAACACATATGTAACTTTTTATCTTTATAATGAATTGAATATACTCATATCTTAAATAAAAACAAAAGTGAATACACAACCTACAATAGAATCATTAAGAGAATTAAATTTCAGACTTGTTCTCAGATTGATGAACTTAGAAAAAAGTTCACAGAGGTTGAAACTAAAAATATAAAATTAAAACAATCTTTGAAAAAATATGCAGTACTAAAGATCTGATTCTAAGAGCTAGAAAAGAAAAATAAAGAGATACTGCCAACCTCACTGCTGAATATATTAAATTTAAAGATAGAGTCATAAAATTGTAACAAATTCAAACACATAATAATAAAAAATATATTGCTAAATTAGACGACGATATCAAGAAAATAAATAGGTAAGTACACTTGTCTAAGAAGAACAATATTTGTCTAATATCAATGCTTTCTGTGAAATGAATTTTGATAGTAACTTTAAACAAATAGACTCACGATATAGTAATACTTCTGTATCTGATATAACTGATAATACTTCAAATTTTGATGAACCTGATTCAGATATATCTAAAAATATATCTGATAATACTTCAAATCCTGATATATATCAGAAAATAGTGACTTAATACTCTTATTAATTTGCATAAAAACTAAATCTTTAGAAGAGATTGAAGAATTTCTAGATCAAATGTATAAAGAAAACAGTAATAAAATAAAAGAAGGAAATCAGAAAAAGAAATTTCAGATTCAAGGATTAGTGCAAAATACTTCTGATATACAAAATGAGGTAAATTCAGTTAGGGTAGTGACAGATATTTTAGAAGGAGTAGCCTGATTCTTATATTATACTTATATATTATATATAAATATAGTAATATATATTATAATTATTATTATATATAAATAAAATTTTTTAAAAATTAAATAACTTGTAATCTACTAAACCAATTTGGATGATTTAACCATCAAAATGATCCTTTCATTAAGAGGATTCGAATGAATCCAAAAGCATCCAATTCTGATCACTTGATCCTGAGATGGATAGAGTTTTGTATTACAGTCTAACCTCCCTATAATCACACCCCTCAGGATAAAGATTTATGTGATTATAAAGAGAATTTTACTAAGATGTGCTTAT